GACATTAGCAGAATCTATTTGAATTTGGATGGATGGGTAACAGAAGGGAGCCTTTGTATATTAGTTTCAAAAGTCAAGGAGATCTGTGTCATTTTTGAAACCACATGAGAGGTATCTGTAACTAAGGCAAATCTCAAGGGAGGTTAGTGTAATTTACCCTTTCATTTTTTTAGTTAATTTTGTTAAATAAAAAATTCTAACAATGGGATATTTGTGATTTTTCAAACCACTGAGGGTAATGTACTTTAAGCAAATCTCAAGGAGTGTATTTATAATTTACCCTAGAATGTAAAATGATACAAAAGAATATCAAAACCTAAGAAAGTTCAATTTCCAAAATGGTGAATTGAATTGAAGAGAAGTTGGAAAATGGTGAGTTGAATTGAAGAGAAGTTTGGTAAAGTAAAATCAATTACTTTGAGCTCTCTACTAATAAAAATAATTTTTTTTTCGGGCTTAATCTTAATTTTATTTTTGAGTTTGGTATTAAACGTTGGACTTATTTTGATTAGTAACTGGGTACCGCTACTAATAAAAATAGTTTTGTTTTTGATTTGGTGTTTGGGCTCTCTATTTAATTGAGGTCTAACAAAAAATAAAATAAAACGGGAGACTTACGTGTAGATCTTAATCGATAAATTTATTATTCAATAGGTCATATGATAATTAATGGCATTTTTCATTAAATATTACTAAAAAAATCACTAATTGTTAATTTTTAGCGACAATTTAAAAATTGTCACACAAAATATCACCAATTATAAATTTTAGCGACAGTTTTAAAAAAATGTCATAAAAAAGTCACTAATTTTTAACATTTAGCGACAGCTTAAAAAATTCTTCACAGAAAAAGTCACTAATTGTAAGTTTTCGCGACAATTTATAAAAATCGTACCAAAAATAAATCACTAATTATCAATTTTTAAGGACATGCAAAAAATCGTCACCAAAAAAAATAAATAAATAAAATCAACGATGATTTTACTATGGCTTATTTTTTTAGGATTTGATGAGAATTAAATCCAATTATTAGGATTATTGGTAATTTATCCTAAAAAAAAATTGTGCTAAATTTTATAAGATTTTATTTTTTATTTTTAAATACGGTCTGCGTTTTGCGAGCGGATCCTCTAGAGTAACTCTCTAGAGTGATCCTCTAGAGTGGATGATCCGACGGCATGTGGTGTTTTTAAGCTCACCAATAACGACGGTTCAGTTTTGGGTGAGGGGATCTTTCAAAAAAAAAACATAAAAAAACCATTTTTGCGATATTCAAAAATTCTCCCGGTTTTGACATAGAGAATTAGGAGTTTTAACTTAAGACATGGAGATAAGAACCATAGAAGCTGCGAAGAAGAAGGAGAGAGGGAAGAAGAGTTAGAGAGGCTGCTCCGTCGTGCATCCCGTCGGCCCACCGTCGCAGTCGCCCCGTCGCCCCACCGTCGCAGTCACCACTGTACTGCCGTAAGCTTCGGTCTCTCATCTCATTCCCTATTCCTGTCTCTCTCTCTCACTCTCTCTCCCTCTCTCCCTCTCTCCCCCTCTCTCTCTCTCTCTGTTCTATTCTTGTCTACCAACAAGTTAGGCTTTTTTATTTCATGTATTGCTTAAATCATTGATTTGCACCCTTTATACACATATATGTGTGTAGATATATATGTGTGTAAAAAAAAAAAAAACAGACCCTGCATTCCAATCTAATCTATTTTACATAAAAAAAAATATATTTCAATCTAGATGAACTAAAAATCAAACTGGTGAATCTGAATTATCAATCTTCATCTTATCTAATGAATCAGTTTTTTCTTGATCTGATCCATTGTTATGAGCATTTGTTCCAGTACTCATTTAGTTGGAATGCTCACATACCAAGTGTTTGATAATTTGCTCCTTCGAACTTTACCAAAGTTTAAACCTGCAGATGGACTTATTTACATATTGATTAACATGAAAGCCTATGTAGTAGAAGATAAGTACGTAGATGTTGTTCCTAAATGTCAAGGTGATGTATACTCAAACAAAGCCTTTGTTAATTGTTGGTATGTGGCCTAAATGTCAAATTGATGTGAAATATTACAAAAATACGAATGATAAATCTAATTAATCACTTAGTGATATGATTTGTTACAATTAAGGATTATGCTTGACATAAATGAATGCATATTTGGCCATGATATGATATGATATGAAAAATTATTTTATCTTGTAAGGATCATGTGCTAGGTCCTACATGTTTGAGTATGCTGGCTTATCTTCATGATGTGGATAGAATATAGAAATAAGAAGAGTGATTGTGATGTGAGTAAATTCTTTTGATTTACCCCCCCCCCCTCTCTCTCTTTGGATTTTCTGCTGCTCCTGGCCGCTTGGAATGGTTGCATACATGAAAACTATTATAGATTTGTAGATGAAAATGTTTTGCATTTTGCAAGAATTTCATAGCAATCTATGTAAAACCTATTTCATGAGAATCCTATGCATTTTCAAACAGGATGTTCTTTAAACTTGGCATTGTTTGTTAATGTTTGAATGTGTTTTTATTGTGAAACCTCTATTTTGTATTTCATACTTTTTTTGTTTGTGTATTCCGGAACCTCTATTCTATATTTCTGACGAATTTTCATTCCTTCTTCTCTCTCTACTTTTATATGGAAACATTCAGACAAAATTTGAAGAGGGTATTGTGGCAAGAGAAAAACCTTGGCATATATTTGAACTTTAAGGCTGTAGTAGAAACCACGACAAGGCTATTGTGTCTTACAGGATAGGAGAGGTAGTTTTGAAATTTTTTTGAATACGGATCTTTAAATTATTCGCTTGATAGAAGATTAAATAATATAATGAACTTAATTGATAATAAAAAATAAATAAATAAAACTATATATTATTGCATATGATGCTATCAAGCACTTATACACAAGTAAAGCAAAAGAAAACTCATAAATTTCAAACAATTGGTTAAAGAGTGATCATAATTGAAGATGTGGTGTTAATGCCCTAGGCTTCTTGCTAATTGAGGAACAATAAAAATTTCCTTACTGTTTTCATTAAACATGATGTCTTATAGGTCGACCTTTATGATTATTCAATAGTGTTCAAAATGAGGGAATGGGATTTGGAGAGTGGCATTATGTATAGTAATTAGGCCTTGTTTTGGAATAGATTATTTTAATTTATTGTGAGGACATTGGTGAGAGTTTTTGGTAGTAGAATTGTAGCCTCTAATATATTTCAGTGTTTTGGAAAAGAGTGAACAACCAATAGGAGACTGGAATTGCACAAGATGAGACAATGGCATCCACTAGACCCAAACTGAGGGCTTCCTCTCCTTTAACTGGCTTTGACATCTATTAGAGATTAGAAAATACTATATGAAGATTACAGTTACTGCAGAATAATTCTTTTATAAAAGTAAGAAAGTGCAAAGCAAGTCATAGCATACCAACATCATTTCAAGGGCCTTAGATAGACCAACAAGGCGTGGAAGCCGCTGTGTACCTAAGACAATTTAGGAGCATGAATGAACATCCAGATGAAGAAAAAGCAGGTTTCAGTCACACTTGATGTTATAAACAGCACAGCAACAATGCTGACATATAACAAGGTGATGCAACAAAATGCATCACAACAAGGCAATTACAATAACTTAAAAAGTTCTATTTAAATTCATGTTACATGTCCCATTTCCATGTTAAGAGAACAGGTCTTATCCAAAACATGAATTATATTACAGTTGCCAAACTTGACCTTATAATATCTGTACATATATTCTATCTAATCTATTCTAGTACATTGGTATTCTATCTATCTTAGTTTGAATCTTAGTAATATTCTTGCATTATAAAATAGTTTTTCCGCAATTTTAGATTATGTTAACTTTTGGAATGTGCGAACAATATATAATTTATGATAATTTTGTTTAATAAAAATATAAACTTCATTAGGATTGAGCTGTTATACTGTGATAACTTGACTTTCCTAACACACTTGTTAATAACTTGTTTTTTATGCAGAAAAAAAAAATGGCTTCATCTTCTATTGATAATACGAACTTAAGATTAAAGCAAAGGTTTTGTAATTGTGGAAGAATAGCTTCCATGCGTATTGTACGAACCAATGCGAATGGAAATAAAGGACGTGTCTATTTTGTTTGCCCAAGAAAATATGTAAGTACCTGTTATATAAATGAATCTGTTACTTTTTACAAATTTCATTTGTCCTTTATTGATTAATTGATTCTTGTCCAATGTAGGATTCGAACGACCACTGCAATTACTTCAGGTGGTTCGCAGATGATGACGACGACGACATTACCTCATCAATCCGTGCCAATGCTGACGACGACGACATTACTTCAAGGCTTGGTGAGCATGATAGAAGGCTTCAAAGGATTGAGAACATCTTGAAGGCAGTGACTTATGTCATTGTATTTTGTGTGTTTTTGTACTTTTTCATGTAAATGACTCAGTTCTTAGGTTTTCGAACATCCTATGAATGTAATCTACTTTTCTACTTGTTTTGTAATTTTTTTTTGGTGCTTCAAATTCTGAACAACTGTGTAACAGGTTTATTTGAGATGAAATGTGTTGAATGAACAGTTTGTGAAAACTAGAGTGTTCTAATGGTTGCTTATCAGTGTCTATTATATGTGATGGTTTGAAAAAAATAGGTACATTAATTAACAGTGTGTTGAATGAACAGGTACTTAACAGTGTATTTTTTTGGACAATGGTTGAACATGTTGAATGGTTGAACATGTTGAATTGAAATGTGTTCAATGAACAGGTTGAAGGAAATCAGTTATTTCTGTGTACATCACTACACTAAAATTCTGATTGGTACATATGCAATTGTTGCATGTTTCCACAGTTTATAGGTCAAAATATTGAATAAATTTAAAGGTGCTTTGGTTTGTGATTGAAAACTCATCAAACAGGATTGAAAGTGTATCTGAAGTTAGAATCGTTCAGATTCAAACAGGTTTGTGATTGAAACAGGATTCAAACAGGTTTGTGATTGAACTGTAGAAGTGCCTCAACAAATGCAATAGACGATGGATCATTGGAATTTTTCAGTGAAAAAATTGCCCTCTGTAACACATTCAGGAGAATCATGCGGTTGCCCCCTGCAAAACTGATGCTTGATCCATTCAAAATCCGTGCCCGATCATGAGATGATGAATATGCACCTAATTGAGCCCCCAAGGCATGCATTGCAAGTGTTCTAATGGTTCTAGGAACTGTTTCTTCAGACCTGACAATCCTAATTAGCTCATTTGTATACTCTGGCTCATTAGCAAAAAAGGATACTAGTGCATCATGAGCATCACTAGACTGCACGAGCACAATGAATGCAGGAAGACAGACCCGACTGTACAACCTGCATACTCTAGGAGAACGAAAGGCATGAGCATATCTGATTCTGGTTAGCAAGGAGAACCTGTGCTCAGGAGGTACATTGTAGTCCTCAACACACTGCTTCAAAAGCAACAGATCATCCTCCTTCCGGAAATGGAGATATGGGATGTGAATAACACACCCATGTGAACCTATGCTGCTGTTGTGCCCTTACACCAGCAGCTGCATCCGAAATGCTGCCATAGAATGCCACTATAACAAAAACCAACAACAGGTCAGTGTGCTATTCCACACTTACACATTATCTTGTGCCCAAGACAGGTACTTCACAATTTGCATGAGGCAACAGTAAATAGAGTGAAATCATTATTCCACCTTTCCTAGAATGCTGCCACCAGGAACAACCTTACACCAGTGGCTGTTGAATCCATGCTGTTTGTATGCTTCATATATATGCATAACTAAGACATATGCATAACTAAGAGATATGCTTCAACAGATTACATATGCTACTGCCCAACACAGGTTCTCTGTCCATCTAGAAGCTAATATCTATGATTATCAATTTATCACATGCTAAAAGCCAAACACAGTACCAGCATCTTTATCTTACTAATGCATATATATGAAGCTCATTCGCCTAATTCCTAATCTCTAACACAGTACGACCATCCTTATCTTAGTTATGTATGAAGCTCATTCTCCAAAGTTTCAGCAACATTTGAACATAAATTTCAACAAAAATGAAGCAAAAACTAATCAAAAGTTCATCAAC